ATTTGTAGAGGATTTAACTTTTGAGAATACTCACACCTCTGTGGGGTACTGCATCAGTAGAAGGATTAGTGAAGCCATCCGGCCCACAGTCCTGCCCTTTTGCAGTATTCTTTCCTGTACTTACTTTTCTGGTCTATATGTGATGTGACTACCAAAAACTGGATTGTCTGTTTGTTGGGATAGGAGGACTTCAGCATCTTAAACCCAAGCATTTCCTACTTTTATGTGGCATCAGGTAGCAGTTGCACTCTAACACCGTTACACATACACTCAGAGAGAGAGAGAGAGAGAGAGAGAGAGCCCTAAAATGCCTTTAAAATATCCAGTGGTAGGGTAAAGAGCTAGTACAGGACAAAGGGTACTTAGCATATACACAGCCATCCTAGTTTGATTCCTGCCACTAAATAAGACCCTTTAAGCACTGCCAGGGATCACTCAAGCACAAAGCCAAGAATAATTTTTGAGCACATCCTGTGTAGTGCCCAAACCCAAAAAGTAAAATATCCAGTAGCTTGAAGAGAAGGGGGAAGGAAGATTTTCACCCAAAGTGGAATTTTTTTTTTTAAATTTCATCTTAGGTCACATGCAGCATTGCTCAGGGCTTACTCCTAGCTCTGTGCCAGAGGTTCCTCTGTCCTGGTGGTGCTTAAGGAACCATATGCAGTGTTGGGGACCAAACCAGTGCAATAAAAAATAAGCACTTAAACCTCTGAACTATCTCTCTGTCCCAAAAGGGTACATATCTTTGGTTGCTTGTTTTCTGGGAGTGGGACACCATACCTGGCAGTGCTCAGGGCTCCTGTCTCAGTGCTCAGGAATCACTTCTGGTGCAGCTTGGAGTACCATATGTGGTACTGGGGATGGAACCTGGGTCAAATGTGTGCAAGGCAAGTGCCCTACCCGCTGTACTATCACTCCAGCCCAAAGGGTGCATATCTTTCAGAACTATTTCTTGATTTCTTTAAAAACTTTCTCAGAGCCAGAGCAATACCACAGCAGGTAGGGTGCTTTCCTTGCACGCGGCAGACCTATGAGTTCAATCCCCAGCATTCCATCTGGCTCCTTGAGCACTGCCAGGAATAATTCCTGAGAGCAGAGCCAAGAGTAACCAACCCCTGAACATCACCGGTTGTGATCTAAAAGCCAAAAAAGAAAGAAACACATAAAATCAGGCCAGAGAAGTAGTACAGGGGTTAAGGCTCATGCCTGGCATTCAATCCCAAGCACCATATGGTTACTCTGGTGTCATTGGGTACAGTCCTGGAGGGTCCTAAGGACTGCCAGGTGTGGCCCTGGAGTCTCCTGAGCCACAGGGGGGTGACCAGGTAATCCCTGCCACCACAGGGCTCAGACAATACCAGGCCCTCACGTTGAAGTACCATCCTAATTGGCTGAGAATCATTACTGGGAGGGGACCCTGGGCCTCCTGGGAGTCTCCCCAACCTCCCAAACAAAACAGAAAACTTGAGGGACACCCAGTGAATGAAGCATAGAAACATGAGTAAACTCTGGCTTAGCAGACAAGGAGAAAGGCAGAACAGTCCAGACGGGAGCTCTCAGGGTATTTGCTACTGTCCGTGTTGCACAAAATCAGTATACGGGACTCTGTGTGAAGGGCACAGTTGTAAACCCAAGGGTTTTCATGGAATGAACTGCTGTCTTGTAGGTAGAGCATGTAGAGCATGTGCCTTTTGTCTAGTGATGTCTGTGGAACCCTCCAGATAATCCAGGTAAAAAGAGAGTCCAGGAGACAGAGTGAGAAGGGTTCTGAATGCTGTAAGGGACATTGTTGCTTCCTGCTCAGAAACTTCAGTGCAGTCTGTGGAGAGTGAGACCACTCAGCCATCAAACAGTTCTGTGATAATCAGCAAATGACATTTGCACCTTTATGTGTGTAGAGGCTGTTCATTTTGGGAAAAGGTGGAAGTAGTGGAAATCAGTGAGCTTCCAGAAGTGTGCGTGTGTGTGTGTGGTTTGGGACATACCTAGTGGTGTTTGTTATTCCAGGTTCTTAGTTGGGGTGGGGTCGTGCTTCCAGAGGTGCTGGGGGACCCTAGCCAGCCTCCCTGCATGAAAGCATGCACCAAAGAGCTATCTCTTCAACCCCTTGAATCACCTTTTTCTGTGTGCATTTTGGCCAAAGGGATTTGCCACTAGTGCCCCGATACAAAATTTTACAAAATCCTCCCTGCCCACCCACATCAGGAGGTTCTGTTTTCTAGGTCATAAAGGAGGCCCAGACTCCAAGAGGCAAGGCTGAGTCTGGCTGCCAGTGGAGGGAGGGAAGGAGATTTGCCGTTGATCCCTCAGGTTGTTATGAATTCTTAAGTTGCCAAATATTTTTCATCTTCTCTTTTGTCTGGAATTAGGAAAGCGTCAAGAATGAAAGCATGTCATATCCTTTTTTGGCTAACCAGTTTCCTCCTTGATCAGGTCACAATGGATTTTGTTGTGGAAACTGTACACGTTTGATATACTAAAATGGAAAAGTTACCAGCCAGGAAACCTTGGGATCCCAATGTACATCTTCTAGTAGCGAGTGTGTGTGTGTGTGTGTGTGTGTGTGTGTGTGTGTGTGTATGTTTTCACTGCTTTGATCAGAACATTATGAGAGCATGTATTTCAAATAATAACTTGTATTTCCACCACCCAATGCCAAAAAACAAAACAGTAACAACCAAAACCAAAAATCCATTCCCAGCACAGTGGAAAACTACTGTGTATCTCTCCCTGGTCCTCAGTTAACCTGCAGTATTTTAGGCAGGTCACTTTTAGCCTCTTCAAACGTGATGGTAGGTGCATAATAGGTCCCTAGTAGCAGCCCTCTTGAGCTCACAGGGTTTTGAGAAGCAAATGAATGGTGTCTGTGAGGCACTTGGAAAATCTTAAAATGCTGAAAAAGTCAAGAAGGGACCCAGTGAGGAACTGGTTTATGCCCTGGTCTCACCACCCTGACCTTCTGATCTCATCCTAAGAAATCGCTTAAAAATAAATGTCTTCTTGAACCAGTCTCGGGAGGTTTTTTTTGTTTGTTTTGTATTGGGGGCCACACCCAGTTTTTCTGGTGCTACTCCTGACTGTACTTATGGGGTCACTCCTGGCAGTGTGGAGTATCAAACCAGGCTTAGCGTCATGCAGGCATAACCTTTAACCCCTATGTTCTGTCTCCTGCCTGAGCTGGGCAGGTAGCACACAAATGTTTTGTTAAGCAGTGAAGGAATGGAATTTACTGTACATCTTTATTTGAGAATTCTTCCTGAGAAAAAGCCAGGGTTGCCAATTTTCAGAGTCTCTTAGTATGTATTCATTCAACTGACACAATATCTATTATTATTAATACTGAGTATCTATTGTGTCAAGCCCTATTCCAGACAGTGAGGATATGTACAGTGAACTAGTGAGGTTTAGGCCTAAACACCATCATTGCCTTTTAGTTCATGTCAGGTCTGCCTTTGAACTCCTATATATGTCTTGTTCTTACCTATGTTTGTTGACCCTCCAGATTTAAATCGAGAATTATTAATAAGGCAGTATTTGAGTTGAGGGGAGTTGGGTCACATGCAATGGTGCTTGGGAGACCATTTGGGGTAGTGGATTGGACCAGGGCCGTTTGCATGCATAGCATGTACTTAGTCCTTTATATTTGCTCTTCTCCCCCAGACAGATATCCATCAAGCTGTTTTCCTACAAATTCTGAGTTATTAAAGAAAAATCTTTTGTGGTAGGGTCTTCAAAGCTGTGCTTGGGGACCTGGGGAGCACTTCTCATGACAGTTGACCCAACAATGAAAGCCTCTCAGTTTGATGTCTTGGGCCCTGCAAAGCAGTGTTACTCAGGCCCACAGTGCGTACCTGGCAGGGCATAGAGGACTGTGCAGTACTAGAGTCTTCACATGCAAGGCATACAATCTGTAGCTAGCCCTTTGAGCTAGCTCCCTGGATGCCTAAGAAGAAATTTAAAAAAAATTTTTTTTTGAACTTTTTTTTCCCCACTTAAGCACCCTGGTTTACAAAGTTGTTCATTTGTTACAGTATTCCAATATTACCATCCCCAATTCCATCACCACTGTGATTGTGTCTCCACCATTGTCCCCATTTTCCCAACTGCCTTTCAAGCCTACCCCCATAGCAGGTCCGAAATAATTGATGTTATGTTGCTTGTTATCACTAAGTGACTAATGAAATGATCAAGAAATGCTTTGGTAAAAGAAAATTTGTGAAAAGTGTTTATATCTCACCATGGGGACATTATAAGTCCTTGTCTGAGGGTTTACTAAGCTGTTATTGCTAGTTCCCAACCAATCTGGTATGCTCCTACTAGGATGTCAGTGTTGTAGAGTTTTAAGAAGTCACTCCAGAAAATCCAGAATATTTAACTGGGCAGTGAGCCTTTATGGCGGCAGCAGTAGAATGTTCCAGGATTTCTAGAAGTACAGCAGGGCAGGGGGGAAGAAGTCGCTTGCTCTGACTTTGAGAAGACCCAGGGCTTTCAGTCAAATAATTCCCTGGTGTACCTGAAATTTCTGGCAGTTTGGCATCCATGTGGAGCTCAATCCTGAGGCAGTGAAGTCTGGCCCTAGGCATGATGGATGTTGTACTGTGAATGCGGCTGCTGGGGCTTTAACAGGGTCGGTACTTGGCCTGCCCCCCCCTGAGGAGAAAGTGTTTGTTTGTTTGTTTGTTTTGCTTTTTGGGCCACACCCGGCAATGCACAGGGGTTACTCCTGACTGCACTCAGGAATTACTCCCGGTTTTCCCATATGGTGCTCAGGGGACCATATGGGATGCTGGGAATTGAACCTGGGTCGACCGCGTGCAAGGCAAACACCCTCCCTGCTGTGCTATTGCTCCAGCCCCCAGAAAGTTTTAAAGCCAGGTATTGCTGCTGTTTGAGGTAGTAAATTCTGTATATATTCCTTAGGTTTGCCACTTAGAGCTGAGGCTGCTTTCTTCAACCCTGTAAACTTTTAAACTTTTATCCCTTCCTTTGATTTGTGTCAGGGTGAATCATTTGATGTAAAAGAGCTGACTCCATAATCTTCATCTGCCCTAATGCTGTCATCTGGAGTGGAGACTCAGCCAGTTCCACTTGATTCCTCCATGTCTGCCGTGGTACAGGAATTATACACTGAACTCCCAGTAAGTGTCTCCAAAGAGCTTCATGCTGACCATGAGCCAAGTGCGATTCCAGATGTAAAACCTGCAGCCTCATGTTCTCCTGTCAGTGAGAGTAGGGCAGTGCCCTTGGAGCTGCAGAGATCCCGTTCGGAAAGTTGTGAAGAAACCCCTGCAACCTTGGATCATGGGGCTGAGCCTAGGCGGTGTGGGCTGGTGGACTCCACAGCACGAGGTTCTTTAGCTTCTGGCATCTTGGATAGGGAAGAGAAAACCAAGAGCCCAGAGCTAAAGGTCTTCAGAGATGAAGGGGACCAGGAGGAAGTTGTAAGAGAGTCCTATGAGGGAGCAAAGGAAGACCCACACCAACATTCCACAGCCGCTGAAGAAGAGATCAGCCCAAGTCAGGTAAGACATGATTGTGATTCAGATGAGTTGGGTGTGAATGCTGTCTTTCCCAGTCCCCTTTTACATGCTAGGACTCAGGTGCTAACAGGCGACTTATCTTTTCTCCTTGAAACAGTTCCCAGATTTTTAGAGGCGATCTGGTTCAGATGACCTTTAGAACCTTTTGTGTCAAACCAGACACGTGGAGAGAGGCAATGCTTGTCTGATGAAAGTGTCATGTCTTCAGAGCAGCTGCTATGTGTGGAATGTTGAATCTCTGTGATAGTCATGTGGTATTTGTGTGTCTGGTATTAAGAGATGATGTGCACTCATCCCTGAAGTTTTGGAAGCGTCGTGATTAGGATGGAGTGAGACATCCAAGGGGTTTATTTGAGGGATACTGTTGACCCAGGTAGGGAGGGTACTGTAGAGCAACGTTTTTGAATCCTTTTACACCTGCAGTCCCACACGTCCCCTGCACACTCGTCCACAGACCGGCAGTTATAACCAAGGTGGGAGACCAGAGGTTTTCAGTTTCTCTCCACCTGCGGGCCAGCACCAGTCCAGGAACCAATGGTTGCTAACTGGTGATTGCAGTGGCCCACGGCCACGGTCTTCTGGTGATGTCCTCATTTCCGAAGCTTGTCTTTAGCTTTACAGGTCCAGAAGCTTGATTTAATTTTTAGTGCATCAGAGATGATGTTTTCCGAAGGACTTATGTTAACCAGCTTCATGAAAGGCTGAAATAGGAATCAAGAAGCTAGTTCTTTAATTAGTAGACAGTGAAAATTGGAATCATTGCTTGTTAGGTGTGGTCATACTGACTGGTCAGAAATCTGTTCCCTATATAAGCAGGCCCACATGGGAAATCAAATCTTGCTGTGAGTTTGAAATTTGACTAAGAGAAGTTAGGGAAGGGAGACTCCTGGTTAGTAAACTGTGCTAACCCGATGAACATAAAAAATGTTTCTTTAAATGTAGGAGTACTGCTATTTATTCAGCACTGATTAGGCTGATTGAATTGGGCATGAACTCCGCCTTACTTTTTTTCTCCCCCCCTTTTTATAATTTTATTTATTGAATCACAGAGAGCAGTTAAAAAAGCTTTCAGGTTTAAGTCTCGGTCATACAATGAAACACCCGTACCTTCACCAGTGCCCATTCTCCACCACCAAAAACCTCAGTATACCCCCATCCCACACCCTTCTCCTACCTGTGGGGCAGATGATTTCCACATTACTCTCTCTCTACTTTGATTACATTCAATATTTTGATACCAAACCCACCATTATTATTTGGGATTTTACCCCAACACTCAGATCTGCCAAAAAGGCAACAGTAGACAATTTGTTTTCTATTGCTGGTTATGAATAACATATGGTGTTGCGCGGCTGGCGCAATTTTGAAATTCTGAAATTTTAACAAATCTGGAGGGATTTCTGCCAAAGCCTGCTGGGTTCCGAGATTTGTTCCCGAGTCTTGGGATTATGGCTGTTTAGCAGCTTGATCAGGAGCCAGAGAGGCCGTTCGTGGGCAGTGACTCGCGGTCTTGTTGGGATGGGGAGGAAAGGGCCGGCTCTACCCCCATCCTGTGAGGCTCCGCGTGTCTTGTCACTGTGGGCCCAAAACTGACTGTCCAATGGCCTCTGGAGGATGGCGGTCATCGGGCCGCCAGGGGGAACATGCCAAGGCACGAAACCTATTCCCACCTGGGGTGGCCCAGTGCTGGTAACCTACTGCAGGGACCAGACACATTTCTGCCAAAAGCTGTTGGGTTTCGAGATTTGTTTCTGGGATCATGGCCATTAAGCAGTTCGATCAGGAACCAGAGAGGCCATGCCTCCAATTATATAGCTGAGCCGGAGGTGGTTTGTGGGTGTGTCTCCTACATACCTAACTTCTGGCCATTAGCTTTCTTGGTAAACTTTGCCCCAAGTTTTTGGGGTCTGGCCAAAGGCACAGCAGCAATTTTGGGGTATCTGGAAGTCTGAAGGCGCCACCAGGCTGCTGATGCACTCGCCTCACAGGTACAGATTGATCTGCTGGTGGCACCATACCCCTGAACATCAACTCTTAACATATCTGGTCTTGTAATAAATATTTTAGGCTTTGTAGATTAGATGGTCTCTGTTAAAACCACGCAATTCTATCCTTGTAGCATGGAAGCATATGTAGACAGTGCATACAGAAATAAATGTAGCTATGTACCAATAAACCTTCCTGAGTTCGGGTTCTGCCCATGAGCTATAGTTTCCCATTCTCTACAGTGATCCAGATAAATTCATATTCTCTGGGATTCCTGGGGTAGGTCTTCCCTCCTCATCTTCCTCCATTCATTTATCATTTCAGGTTATAGGACAATTGATTTCTGTGGCAGGTTGTAGGGCATATGTTACAGGACAGTTGATTCTTGGTAGCAAATGGTGGCTATAATTCAGAATGAACTCAGCATGAAGTAACAGTTAAGCTTGGGGCTAGAGCGATAGTCCAGGTGGGGTGCTTGCCTTGCACATAGCTGGCCTGAGTTTTATTCTCGGCACCACATATTATCCTCTAAGCCATTAGGAGGGTTTCCTGAGTGCAGAGCCAGGAATAAGCCCTGAGCACTGCTAGGTGGCTAGGTGTGCCTCTCCACCCTCCTCTCCCCTTTACCTCCTCCCCCATATTAGATCAAAGATACAGATAAGGCGCTTGCCTTGCATGCATTTGACCTGGATTTTATCCCTAGCACTGCCAGGAGTAAGCCCTGAGCACTGCCCAAAAACTGAAATGACAAATTCAGGACTTAAAAGTTCCTTTTTGATTTGGTGGGCTGAATCTAAGTTTCTTGGGGCTGGCCTGATAGTACAGTGGGTGGGGCATTTGCCTTACATGTGGCTGACCCAGGTTCTGTTCCTGGCATCTCATATGGTCCCTTGAGCCCACCAGGAGTACTCTCTGAGCATAGAGCCAGGAGAAAGTGGTGTGACCCAAATACAAAAAATCAACAAAAGACAACACAACAAAAAGCAGCAACCACCAAACTACTTTCCTTAATGTAGTATTTGATAGAAAACAAATCTCATATATGTATGCCATAAAGATAACACAGTACAATGACCTATATATGTGATACACACACACTTTTATATCACCCAACATAAGAACTAAAGGTTACTGTCTTCCTATTCTTTGTTTTCTTTGGCCACCTGCAGGCAAACCTCCAGTGCATTGAACTGTCTCTCCAGCCTTCCCTTTTCTTTTCATTTGTTTTGGGGCCATACCTAGCCATACCTAGCGATGCTCAAAAGTAACTCCTGGCTCTGCACTCACGAATTTCTCCTAGTAATGCTTGTGTTATCCCCCTCTCCCAAGGAATTGAACTGTAAACACCCTACCCTCTATACTATCTCTGTTCCTTTTTAAACCATTCTGTTTTAAAAAGAACAGAGAGGGCCACTAGGGCATTTGTCTTGCATGCGGCTGATCTGGGTTTGATTTCCGGAATCTCATATGGTCCCCCAAACACCGCCAGGAGTGATTCCTGAGCTCAGAGCCAGGCATATCCCCTAAGCATCACTGGGTATGGCCCCAAAAGTCTAAATAAATAAATATTTTAAAAATTAAAAAAAAAAAGGAACAGTACAGATAGTGCAAAAGAAAACAGGATGGTTTAAATAGCCCACTTTCTTCCTTTTTAAACCATCCACCTCCACCAAAGGTAAATACTATTTTGAATTGAGTAGAGCAAAATAAAATTTAATAGATATTAATATATGATTTATATATATATTAATATATAATAATCCACGATATTGGCAACTATCGCCCAATCTGCCTATTGTCTGTCATCTACAAACTATTCACTCGAGTCATCCTGAATAGGATTAGCAGAACACTAGATGAAGGACAACCATGTGAACAAGCTGGATTCCGAAAAGGATTCAATACCATCGACCATATCCACACAATAACCAAGCTCATTGAGGTATCTCGGGAGTTCAAGATGCCGCTCTGTCTAACGTTCATTGATTTAAAGAAGGCCTTTGATTCTGTTGAGACGGAAGCGGTCATGGAAGCCCTAGCCAATCAGGGCGTACAAACTCAATACATCAGGATCCTTCGTGAGCTCTATTGCGGATTCACTACCAAGATCTCACCATTCTACAAAGAAGTAATCATCCATATCAAGAGAGGGGTTCGGCAGGGTGATACCATTTCACCAAAACTCTTCAGTGCCACCCTCGAGAACATCATGCGACGACTGGAATGGGAAAACATGGGAGTGAAGATAGATGGTCGACAACTACACCACCTCCGCTTTGCTGAGGACATCGTTCTAATAACACCAAACATCAGCCAAGCGGCACAAATGCTGAACGACTTTGACCGTGAATGTGGAAAGGTCGGACTACAGCTGAATCTTACGAAGACAATGTTTATGAGAAACAGCCTTGTTCCTGACGCTCCATTCGCTCTCAACGGAACCACCATCTCCGAATGCAACAGTTGTATATACCTAGGTCGAGAAATCAACATGATGAATGACCTGGCACCTGAGTTGCGCAGGAGGAAGAGAGCGGCTTGGAATGCCTTCAAGAGCATTGAAGAAATAACTAAAAGGACAAAGAACCTCCAGCTACGAGCACATCTCTTTGATTCCACTATTCTTCCTGCATTAACATATGCCTCAGAGACCTGGACCCTACGAAAACAGGATGAGAACGCTATTCGGGTCTCTCAAAGAGGAATCGAAAGAACTATGCTTGGAATATCATGATTCACTCAAATGAGAGATAGAATCCGGAGTTCTGATCTTCATCAACGCTCAAGAATCAGGGACGCTGTCTCATTTGCCAAGACATCAAAAATCAGATGGGCTGGACACATAATGAGGTTTACAGACAACCGCTGAACTAGAGCCATTACTGATTGGATTCCACGGGACATCAAGAGATCACGTGGACGCCCACCTATAAGATGGTCAGACTTCTTCGTCAAGACCCTAAATGATCGGTTTGAGGCTCTGCATGTTCCTAGAA